AAACTGCACTATTCCTTCACCCAGTATTTGATGGGGACTTGAAAAGCAATGAAATAACCAACTTCATTTTCTCAAAAGTAATCAGAAAGTCTCAATTTAAAAATCAAGTTTATTATTTTTAAGTATTTTTTTCTAGTAAAGATGAGATTAGATAATTTTCATACAACTAGGAGAAAAACAGATATTGTATGTTTTACATTTCATATTACAAAGGGCAGAAGTCTAGATTACTAAATAGAATCATAGAATCATAGAATAGCTAGGGTTGGAAAGGACCTTAAGATCACCTAGTTCCAACCCCTCTGCCATGAGCAGGAACACCACACACTAAACTATGTCGCCCAGGGCTCTGTCCAGCCTGGCCTTGAACACCTCCAGGGTTGGAGCATTCACAACTTCCTTGGGCAACCCATTCCAATGCCTAACCACCCTCACTGTGAAGAACTTCTTCCTTCTATCCAACCTAAAGTTCCCCTGTTTAAGTTTAAAGCCATTACCCCTTGTCCTACCACTAGAGTCCCTAATGAAGAGTCCCTCCCCAGCATCCTTGTAGGCCCCTTCAGATATTGGAAGGCTGCTATAAGGTCTCCACGCAGCCTTCTCTTTCCAGGCTGAACAGCCCCAACTTTCTTAGTAACCAGTTTGTATTTCTTTAGACCCAGGCAGGAAAGCAGATATCCTCCATTTGTGGTAGCTCTTAGGAACTACTAAGCTCATTTACTATTGACTTATTTTCATAACTGATAGCAGAAAAATAGTCTTACCATACGCAAAGGTATACACAATTAACAATCAGTTAAGGGATTTCCCTGGTTGTTCTTTTGGGAAAAAGCCCTACATAGAATCATAGAATAGTTAGGTTTGGAAAGGACCTTAAGATCATCTAGTTCCAACTCCCCTGCCATTGGCATTAAACCATGTCATCCAAGGCTCTGTCCAACATGGGCTTGAACACTACAATGGATGGAACATTCACAGTTTCCTTGGGCAACGCATTCCAGTGCCTCACCACCCTCACTGTAAAGAACTTCGTCTTTATATCTAATCTAAACTTCCCTTTTTTAAGTTTGAACATGTTAACCCTTGTCCTATCACTACAGTCCCTAATGAAGAGTCCCTCCCCGGCATCCTTATAGGCCTCCTTCAGATACTGAAAGGCTGCTATGAGGTCTCCACGCAGCCTTCTCTTTTCCAGGCTGAAAAATCTTTGAACTCTCTTATTTGCAAGTGACAGTAACCCTTTCTAAGAAATCTGAAGAGGCTACAACCTCAGATTCCCACACTGGCTTTGTGCTGAAGGTTAATACCCTGTTAGTATGAGTAGCAGAACAGCTGGGCAGACTTGTATAGGGCATTGAGGAAAAGAAACAGCTGAAAGACTGATAACTGAAAGAAATAATTCATAAAGTAGCGAAACACAGGTATCATAGCCCAAGGGGAAAGTTATTGGGCTAAAAATTAACTAGAAAACTTTTGGAAGGTCAGTGAAAGAGCTTAATTTTTTTTCTTGTTAATTCTCCTGTTCAGAAAAGCAGGATTTTCCACACAGGCATGATTGCTTCAAAGGAGCATGACTTCACCACCAGTTTATTCATCCAGAAAAGCAATTGAAAATACCTCCAGGGGTCCAAATTTTGGCTAAGTATGAGGTTTAAAAAACGATAATTTTTTTTTCTTGACATGGACTTATTTTTTTCTTCATGTACATAAAATTTTGGCATAAGCATTGTATTTGAAAACAGCATAACTAACATTAGAAATCTGTGTAAAGTCAGTTAAGATCTTGAAGCTGAACAAAGAAATGTAATGGCTACATATTTTGTTTTAGAACTGCTTTTTTAAGCCTTGTTATTTTATTTTATTTTTTTTTTAATTTACACACCTACCGTATGTGAGCCAAAGCATCATTCAGGAACTTCACTTAATGTATAAAGGATTCAAGGTCTATGTAATGTTATAGAAAAAACAGTCTGGAACTATAGTAGGCAGAGGTGGTTTGGAAATTGTATGGAATATTAAGTTATAAAAACAATACGAAACCTTAGAAAAAACATATTTTGCCCTAAAAGAACATTACCAGTAACATTCCTGAGTATTAATTTTCTGATACCTTTGGGTTGTTCTTGCAAGGTACGGTCTGATGTATTAAGAAAAACTAAACTTTCTACTGGTTATGCTTAATATACCACGCTGCAACCTGTACTAGTTCAGCTCCTTCATAAGGAGCTGAGCTTTTCTTCCAGCTGGGAGCACCAGCTCCCAAGAGAGGGATGAGAGCCACCCAAGGAAATCTGTCTTCTCTTGGCTGCAGGGGTTCACTGAATAAAACCCACTGCTGTGAAAGAAGGGTATTGGTTGCTTAGTCTGTAGCAAACTTACACATCTGCTGTCTGTGATCTCAGGTATTTCAGCTGTCCGATACTGAGTGGAAGGCTGGAAGGAACGACGCATATCTATGAGCATCCATCTGTCCTTGTCACATTCATCTCATAGCAACAGCAGTTTAATTGTGGTTTTTTTCTGGTCTTTAAACATGAGAAAAAAAATATTTTTAAGTATGCTTCCTAGAGATCCATCCCGTTAGACAAATTATTTTCAAATCTAATTCTAATGACTCTGAAATTAAAATCTTATCTTGCTTAAAATTTAAATAGTATGAACTTTAGAATATAGACATTCTTTCTTTTTTTTTTTGTCTAACTTTCAGTTAAAAAGGAACCAAATTCAAATTTCCTTGATTGACTGTTAAGTAGTTATTTCCAAGTGGTTTTCAATGTGTGTGTAGCAGTTAAATAGAGGTAAGATAATCTCTCTACATATAGATATTAAATAATAAGTACTTTAAGACTCAAGGAAATGAACATTCTGCCTTTGCACAACTAAATATATATTTTTAGACAGGAGATACTGATGTCTGCAGTTGAAACAACAGCATTAGAGAAATTCTGGCCAGGAAGAATGGATCTAATATATAGCCCCCTGAAATCAATAAGAAGCTTTGCTTTAACTCCTCTAGGCTTTGGCTCCAGCCCCAAGTAATTATTCAAGTTGGACTCTGGCCACTGATATTAACACCATCTGCTTACAGAAAAGTACTATGAAGTCTTTAATTAACACAAATCCTGAAGGCCTCAGTTCTGTCTTATCCATAAAATGGCACCTTTGTGAGTGTACTGTTAATGGGTATTTACTTTGCTGAGGACCTCATTCCCTGCCACCTCATGGAAAGAGCGTCATCTACCGCATTGCTAGCACTACCTTTTCCAAAGATGTCCAATTTTCAGAGCCATGGATTTTCCAATTGAAGTTTGTATGCAAATATGTCAACCAGGTTTGATTTTTATTTATGGTGTTGGATAAAAATAATAATATGCAGGAAATACATGGAAAGGAAAGTGTAAAGGGTTGTTTTGTTTTGTTTTGTTTTTTTAGTTAAAATCAGATTTTAAAAGAACAAAATAAAACACATAAGAGGGAAAAAAGAATATTATATCTCTAAAATTCCAACCTAGAGACCAGGTTAGTCTTACAGTTCAGAATTTGTTTTCTCACTATTTTTCTGTTTTCACCTTTTTACAAAATCATCAAGGTAAAACTATTAACCTTCATTTTCCTCAGTTTCCCCATCTGTGAAATGGTATTAATGCCAGTTGATCTGCCAGTTGGCAGAAATTTGCCACCCTAAAATACTGCTTTGCCATGTTCAAAGGGGAGATAACATATTAATCTGCAAAACCTTGGCATTATTGCATACAATCTTATGGCCCAGATAGTCCCACATGTTATGCAAGGCTGTTGGTTTTTTGCACACCATTGTCATTAAGCACAAGATTTGCGTCACAGGCTACTTCATTGAAAGTGGGTAAGTCATAGTCCCTTTTGTACCTATAACTCACACTTTCAAGCCAAAAATGAGAAAGATGTGTCTGTCACCAGACGATGAGTGTGTCTGGAGAACTTTAATAATTGTTTCCTTATTGTAGGGATTAATGAAGTGCTGGCCAGGGCCCTGCACAGCACTTAAGGACATGTTTAACTTTAAGAATCTGAGTAGACTGATGGATTTCCATGGGAATACTGATGTGCTTAAAGTATGTGTTGTTGGAATGAAGTCATATCCTTCAGTACCGTGTGGGGTCACACTACTTTTGCTTGTGAAAGTGAAGGAACGTATTCAGATGTTACTCCTTCTACAGGGAATCTCTTGGTTCTTCAAGACTGAGATCCTCAAACATCTTACCTTCCTGATTTCTCAACCCAGCTTCATACATGTGGTCTTTCTGCAATATACAGTATCAAGGTCTTCACTGGTGTTCTAACATTAATTGTTTTCCTGTTCTGGGCCAAAACCAAATTAAATAAGTTATGGCTCTAAACAGCTGACTTCAGTAGCCCTGATTTTTCTTCTTTTTTCCACTGATTGTATCTAGGAACTTTTATGAATATAGATGTGAAAATAATTAAATAATTTTCTGAAAAAGAAATAAATAAAACAAGCAAACAGGTCTCTTGCTCCAAGTCTGTAGGCTGCTCAAAAGGCAGTACCTCATGAAGGAGGGCACAAGCTCTCTCTTTCCATGGTTCTACATTGCTGCCTTAGGTGAGCATCTATGTCAGATAGCAAAACCGAAAAAATTTTCCACCTCCATGTGCCATCTCTGGGGCATTCTTTGGCAACCTCCCAGGTACAGCTTGAGTCAGAGGCACAGACCTTTGCACACAGAAGGAATGTGCTTTGTTCACCTCTCTATGTAGGCAGGATGCTCTGCTTATCTATTTACATCATGACTTAATTTCTGCTGGTGACTACTGTGCCATCTGCCTGCAAGTTTTGTACCAGTTCTTTAATAAAATTTACCAAACGCACTCTGTAACGACTACAGTACAGTTGTTAGTGTGTATGTTTAAAAGGAATACAGTGTGCAAAAGTGGACTTCCTTGATACAGAAATGCTTAAGATTGTTATTGTAACTTATTACGTGTTTTTTTTTGTTTTGCAGTTTTACTAAAAAATGCAAAAAAGGAAGAAGAAAAGCCCTTCAGAGACTGTGCAGATGTATACCAATCTGGTTTCAACAAAAGTGGGGTCTACACTATTTACATTAACAATGTGTCAGATCCTAAAAAGGTAAATACTTGGTTTATTTTCTTAGTTGTTAATACAATGTTGCTTGTCCTTAAAGGAGCATTTGGAGCCTTTATTGAAGTTCTCATTCTGCAAAATATTTTACTGGTATAAATAACCTGGGCTATATTTGATCTTGAAAAAAATACGTTAGAGTGAAGAAAATGATAAACTGTTATTCTAGACATTCTCCTTTCTTACTGACAGAGAATCCTTCCTAAGTTCCAACATACAGTCAGTAACTGACTCACTTCCTCCCACTTGGCAGGTTCACTTGAATCAGACTATGGCTGCAAATAAATCTACAATAAAGTTTAGAAGAGAATTATAAAGTGCTATAATGAGAAAAATGATGTGAGGGATTATCTGGTAGCACAGGGAAGGAAATAACAGAATGAACAGTTTTTAAAGATAAAGATTTTAAAAAATGCTGTTTCTCTTGTAGGGAGCAGGGGAGAGTGGTTTTGGCTGTAAAGAACACAACATGCTGAATATTAGCACTGTTTGAAATGATGAAGCATGTATAATCCTGTCATTCTCAAAAAAACAAACAAAAAAATCTGGGTGGGTTTTTTGATAAAAATGAAACATCACCCTGTAAATGAGACTGCTTTTTTGGAAGGCTTTGGTTGTCAAGGTACCTGAAGCTAAGAACATGAGAAAGTAGCCTAAGCCTAACTTGTACGTGGAGGAATGCTGGCAGTTCTTCTAATGGGGCACAATTAGGACCAGCCCTCCAAAATGACAAGAGCTGATTATCTGGGAGAAGAAAATATAGTGGTATCCAGAAAGTGGGCTGAACAGGAGAAAGGTAACCACATCTATGTGGTGATTTTATTCTTACTGAATAAAAGGTGATACTGCAAACATAAAAAGACAATAACAAATATTACCAATGTTATTGTCTGTAGTCATTTTATGATGATACTAAAACATGTGAAACTTATTTCTAAACTAAATTTGGTTTTACTAGAGGCCTTTGGAAGCCTATAAATGTCAAGTGTTATAGTTTACTAAGGAATTAGTGTTCATTATGAGTAGAATTGGGATGGGAGAGTGCTATGGGCAAAGATCAACATAGCTCTGGTAAATGTGAATGGAAGAATAATTGACAAGACATAAAATACAGACACTTATTTAAGCATTACGGAACAGGACAAGAACAATAAAAGCAGTTCTGTAGAATCTGTTCCATTCAAAACAGAGATGAAACTTCCAAGCCCAAATTGCCTCTGCAAGCTGGCAGTGGTTTTTCTTAGCTTTATTAAACTCATAAACCGTTCCCAAATGCTGGGTTGCAATGAAAAACAATGGCTATCTGAACTCACTGTGGCACTGATGCTTCTGGTATATTTACCTTAACCCACTTCACCAGTAATGTAAGGACTGTGACATTATGGAAGCCACCCTGTGTTTCTGCTCTATCCCTGTTTGCAGACACTGTTATCAAATAATACAGGCAGCACAACTCAGCTGATACCATTGCCTTATTTTTTCCTGGAGGCTTCCTGTTTCAGCAAGAAAATGTGGTAGAGAGTGTGTGTGTGTTGAGGGCATTTCTGCCCCTGTTTCTTTCTTGCACCAGTGATAACACAGCAAGAGCTGATCCCAGTCGTGTTCATGTTAGCCAAGTGAGGAATGTGATTGCTTTAACAGATGGGTTTTTAGACATTAAGGTCATATTAACAGTCTGCAAGTTAGTGTTGTGCAGAGATAGCTGAACCAACTTCTGCTGAGGTAGCTTCAAAATCATATGAATGCAGCACTGTGTCAGGACTAATTAGCCCAGAGGTAGCACCATGCTGACACATTGATCTGAGACCCAAGCTAATATCCTGATAGGTACTTCATGCAGACACACCAGCTTGTTTAAAGCCATCTTAGTTATCATCTGGATTACCATAATGCATTGCACAATCCAGACGCCTAACATATTGTTATCTTCTGTAAAACAACCACTGGCAACTGTCTCATTTATAGTAACTTTATACTTCAGGTCACAAAAATATACCTTTCATTTTACATTTCCTGAGAGTTAGTTACTAGAATGCCGACATCCAACAGAAAATATCTCTTTGTCATATATACATACGTTGCTGTCAGTTCTGGATTTTTTTTTTTTTTCTGATTTTACCTTCATATATTCGTAGAAAATTATCCTCTGTGATTCCAGCTCCATACCATTTATATACCTCATTTTAGATTATGCATACAAATTTAGATTGCATTTTTTCTTTCATGTTCCTAGCTTTGGCAGTTCATTAGTTTAGTTTATTAGTCTTCCAGCCCTGCATCAAAAATTAGTGATTCATTTGTGCTTAAAAGGATCTTAATAATATTCCATATTTTGAGATGGGAAGAGAAAAATATAGGCTTATTAAGCTAATTAATTGGCTTACTTTGATGTATGCGTGTGCAATGTCTGATGGTGTTGGCAAATAATTGTCCCTATGCCATAGTGGGAACAAAGACAAGAAGAGTCCTCTCAGTCCCCTGCAGACCCAGTTTCAGCTACCAGGCTGAAATGAGCAGAGGAGCAGTGGGAGAGAGGTTTTTTGGAGCTGAAGGTACAGTGTCACCTTCAGGATCTAAAGCAGGGCAGTGGGTCTGGTCTGAGCACACATATCTTCCTTGGATCTTTCCTCCATATCTTTCCTTGGATCAATGTATTTAACTCTCCTACTGTCTCCTCTAATGCCCTGACAAGCATGACTTCTAAAAACTTCTGGGTGTACTGCACTGAAAATGTAACATTATGATTGCTGTCAGGATCTATATATCTGGGTTTTTTGGGCTCTGCAAAAGCAATTCCATCGTTGCCATGCATGCAGCTTCACTCCTTCTCTACTTCCTGCCTGTGGACATCCTACCAAATTGTTGTTGATGGTCTCTCTGAGTATATCTTCCAGAGTTTTAACCCATTAAATGTGTGCTAGTCTCATATACTGTGGAAACTGTCATCCTGACATGGTTAACTTCAGACTTCTGCATAGCAGAGACACATTCCCTGAATGCCAAATGGCTGGTCTTGAGCTTGTTTCTCCATACCAAAAATGTAAACTTGTGATAAATCTAAAACATGTATAAATAATCCCATACTTGCCTTTTAGGAGCTCAAGTATTTTTCCGCTTGCGTTTAAGGAAGGGCAAGAGTGCAATGCTTTAGGTGCTCTTTAAATCTATATCAGGTTATTTTATTGACGATAAACTCAGAATCTAGAGACGAATAAAAATTCAGTCATTTTTCTTCATCCTTTTCTTTTCTGGTAGAGGGTAAAATATCAGAACATATTAAAAGGTGTTTAATGGCTGAGTGCCCTGACCTTGTCTGGGACAGAAGCCAGTCCAGGACATTTGCTGGCTAGAACTACCCACAGTGATCATCTATAATCAGCTTGGCACTCTTGTTAATATGGCAGGTGTTTGCGTCTACCACCGTGGAAAGTGCCAGACCACACAGTGATGGCTTGTGAATAATACACTGGTGATAAATCTTTCTTTCATTGTGCAGTTTTCTCTTTAAATTTGCTATAATATTCAGAAAACAACAAAGTCTTTTTATAGGTATTTTATTATATTTTAGTATGAAAACCCCATCATTTGTTTGTGCATGTCTTTAAAATGACTAGTCTTAATACAATTGAGGATTTAATGCTTTAAAAATTGGCAGTGGAGTCATGGGAGCTTGAAACGACTTATAAGGAAAGTAAATCCATCATTTAGAAATTCTCACTGTAAATCAGACTAAAGAAATTAAATCCTGTAGATAAATGTTTTGACTCACAGTGTCTTTCCTGAAGGAGGAATAGGGCCAAAATGTTTGTCTAGCAAATTGTGGGTTTTCTTGTGGTTACCCTTGATCAAGTTCACATGTTTGCACTGTTCGGTATTCTGTTTCCTTCCTATACCTACATGGGAACTTCACTCAGCATGCCTGCAGCAAATTAAAACAAAAGCACTTGCGCAGGATTAATATGTCAATGGTTATGAGTAGGAAAGATTTGGAATTGCTTTGCCTGAGGGTAGAATATGGTTCTTAGTCAACTGAGGGATGAATTTTTATTTAACTGAATAGAAACTTTCAATTTGGCAAAGCAACTTAAAGCTTTCAATTACCGAGCAGTGCTGAATGGATTGACTCTTAATGTGAATGCCAAAAGCTAAGCTGGTGGGTGATAACTCTTCACCCTTCTTACATATTGCTGTCTTACTTACAAAGAGGGATATAACATTTCAACAGCACAGGCAAATGAAATTTAGGATAGTTGCAGTGCCAATATGGCACTGATGAGTGCATGGGAATGAAAATCAGGAAAAATTGCTTGAACAACTAACACTGAGAAATAGATCTTAAAATCAGGTGTCATACAAAAATAGGAACAAAAATGAATGCTACCACTTGCCATATTCCAAGAAAAGTGAATTGATAAGCAATATTTTGACTTATTTATAATTTATTCTCTATATTTTTGAAAGGATGACATAAGTAGAATGAAAATGAATCAAAATTAAATATCCATTTTGATTATCGTTATAATACAAAGCAAAACAAAATAATATCATCTGTGGTATATTTTGGACTTCCTGAATGTGTATTTTCTGTAAGAATTCCCAAAGATTCTTTCTTAGACAGAACAACACTCTATTAAATAGAAAACATTATTATCACTGAAACAGTTTGTTAAGAGGAAGGGAGCAGTTTCAGGGGTACTACAGAGAAAATAGACAAGGAGCATGAAGGGAATGTGAAGAGGAAAGCTGAGGATGCAGAGGGGGATGATGGGGAGATGTTCTCGAGTAATGTGCTGAAAGTAAACATTGGGAGAATTACACTGAACACAAGGAGAGCTCTGGTTGTAACCTAGTGATTGAAGATACCATCAAGAGCATAGGACATGAATCCACAGGAAAACAGGCTTCCTTAGTTCTGTTAATCACAAATAATTCCTCCTCCTCCCCCCTCCTCTGCCCAAGATGAGAGAATTCCCATGCAGGTTCTGGGGTTTTTTAATTTTTTTTTATTTTATTTTAATTACTGCATAGGTCTTTTGCAATATGGAAATTGCTGGAGGAGGGTGGACAGTTATACAGCACCGAGAAGATGGGAGCCTGGATTTTCAAAAAAGCTGGAAAGAATACAAAATGGTAAGGTGAAGAATGTGGAATAGTTGAACAGTTCATAGAAGTGTTATATTTCAAATAGTACTTCCTGTTATCTTAAAAAGATAGTTCTGTCTACAGTGATGTGGTGTGGTCCTGCAGTCTTTTATGAGCTACCTTTTGTCATGTCTGTTACTTTTGAAAATCATATTCTTTTTACTCAATTAGTTGAGTATTATTTCCCATGACTTAGGGTTTCTTTCAGATCAGTTACTGAGATTGAAGTGAGGTCAGGCCCAGGCATATGCATTAATGAATATTGCTGTCTGTCCCTCTGAAGTTTTGACTTGCTGTGACGTGAGGGGTAAGAGGCATATGATGGTGATCCTAATATATAGATGTTCTCAGTTGAGGGGAACTCCTTCAGAACTTGGAGCATCTCAGATGGGAATGAAAAGTTTTACTGGGGCTTATCCCAAGTCATACAACACCTCTGCCAATCAAACTAATGTACTGGAAATGTTGATACTTCGAAGAGGATTAAAAGAAAATAAATAACTTACCAAATTACAGATGACATGACTTCAGCAGACTATTTTCCCTTTGCCAACTCAAAAAGAAAAAAGTTTACTCCAATCTAAATAACTTCTGATTTTTTTAATTTGCTGCCTGCTCAAACTTTCTGATGGAGCTCCTTTCTTTGAGTCCCTGAGGACTGGCTTGGATTTCAATGACATTCCCAGTGAAGCTTTCAGAACTGTGTTATCAGTCTGGAAGAGGAAAGTCTTTCTTCCAGCAGTTTTCAGAAGGTGCTAAATGAAGAGAGGATTTAAAATGTTAAAAAATGAAAGTAATTTTAGTTCAGTAAAAATTTCTTTGGGAAACAGTTCTGTTACAGAACATACCATTTCAGAAATAGATGTAATATCAGATTATTGAAGCAAAATGTTGTTTCGGATTTAATGGATGCTTCCTTTTCAATATTTTTTATATTACTTGAAAGCATAAATTATAGGGATAAAATCTAACCATTTGGGTCAGACCTCTGCTACTATGGATAACCAGAAGATGTAATGTGTTTCATAATTCATACCTTTTAATTTAGCAGGAAACTCAAAGTATGTTTTACATGATTTTGGTTCAGAGTCAAATAAAACATTAAACATCAATTTATTTTGGGGAAAACAAAATTTGAAAATTCTATCAGTTCTACTTATGGGAAAATTAGAATTTGTATATGCAACCTCAGTAGTTCTCTACACATGGGCTGGTTTAATTTATGCATATTGTACAAACTATCGAGATCCACTCAATTTTTCTCTCCTGTGCTTTTTCTTAGACCATTTAATAAAAACAGCCCATATTTTTAAAGTTTTCCCATGTGGCCTTTTTCACATATATTCCTTCACTTAGTCAAACATTTTTCTCAAATTTTCCTTTAAAACAGTGCAAGCCTGTCCAGGATCGATTGTATTGGTTTTGTCTAGTTCAAGCAGTCTAAATTAGTTTTGCCTCTCTTTAGGAATGCCATAGTCTTCTAAGAAATCACTTCTATCAAACAAAAAGGATGTTTTAGACTCTTACTGATACCTGTCTGTCATGCTTTATGCCCAACCGGTAACTCAGAACCACACAGCCTCTCGCTCA